CACTTTGAGATGAGTTATGAGTTTTTGAAAGTTAGCTGACAAAAAGGCCAGAACCTTCCTTACAACCTAATATATCGATCGTGATGCTCTCAGCAGTTCAGCGTCCGAATCTAGAGAGAACTATCTTATACTGATTATTCAACATTCCGCTGAATGACTCCATCGTGGATAAGTGGCCGTCGACATATACTGCGCGCGTTAGCGTGCATAGCCAAACTGGAAACCAAATATACAGAAATACAATGCAGTGTTTATTAAAAGTCGCATAGAAACGCAGAGGATTCGTCACACAATGCGTATATAACAAAATATAGCAATACAATGCAGAATGTACAAAAAAATACAAATTCTCGCCACGGCAAACAACACTTGACTTTCTATAGTGATGTAATAGAAAGCACCAATTGAATCTCTCATTACGCTTTCAAGCAACTTATGTAAAAGGGATCAGATACGTGCACGCCCTATAGCGTTAAAAACCTTTGCAAGCGAAAGAAGTAATCGGAAAACCTCAGGTTCTAACAGTACCACTAACAGGCATCATTCAATCAATATCTACCAGTAATATTTTCAAGCCGGCTCTTTCATGGTTGATGATGGCAACATGGATTACATAATCATCCGAAGTTAGAAAAACCCTGGTGACAGACACCTTTCGAATCCTTTCTTGTAGATAACTCGCAAAAATTCTGGCCTGAAAAAGATAATGATATTTATCGTCTGTGGCGTCAACTTTGCATGCAGGCCCCAGAAGCTCTAGAATGCGACATACTCGAGTACCAAATAGATCTTTTCAGTAGCCAAGACCATCCATTATAGTGTTTGAGATACATAGTGAACTACCAGCATCCAGTAGAGCAGAAGAGCATAACTTTTCAGTTGCTCTGCTCTGCTCTTCAATACCTCAAAAGCATGGGATTCGTCTAGGTTCTTCCTGAAGACGAGGTACTTTTAAGGAGTACTCACCCTAAAGAGTAGACGTAGGACGTTGCCGTGGCTCAATACGGTATGGAAATGAAAAATAAAAGAGAACACTAAAAGCCACTTATATCCGACTGGATTCTGATGAACTTTTAGCGGGCTCTAGGCTTATGCAGCTCCAGTTACATGCATATTTATTGCTCACATACTAAACATTGCCTAATCAAATGCCGCGCTACTTTCTAGTATTCTCGGACGCACGGATGAATACTTTTACACCGTAACGTTTTTGCCTGGGTAGGGAGTTTACTGGATAGGGTGTGAGTGAAGGGGTGACAGTACAACCCCACTGAGCCAGCTTCTACTGGTCGTGTCACGACCCTTTATTCTTACAAGGTTGAAGAAACATCGCTGGGCGAGGTCATAGGTCGTGATTATCTAGTTTCAGCTCGGCGACCGCACTAGTATGGCACTTCCTCATCAATACAATCCGACTCAACTCTGATAAGCTGTCAGCGTTTTTTGAGCTACAGTTCCGCTTTTATACGGTATTACGTTGCTTGAACGGTCTTAGGCACATCATGCTCAAGGAAGATTTGCCTTCTGACTCACTGAACTCATTGTCAGACAAAGTTACCGAAAATGTAGCACTTTCTTACTGTCCCAAACTAGTATTCCCGCCGTCATGCACTATGTAACTGAGATTTTTTAGTGTAATTTCGGGATATACATATGTATTAGGTTGATGCATAATTATTGCGGAATTTCTCGCGGCTTTTTTTTCTCTCGATAGAATTTGAATATTGAGTTCGGATTTCTTAAAAAAGATCTGCTTGGTTTCCTCTACAGAAATGTACTTAGGAAACCATCCGCATATTAGCGAAATTAGGCTCTACTACTTCGAGAAAGGTTGGAAGGTGGCAGAATCTTTCCGCGATCTCAGTAACCTTTCGGCGATGGAACAACCAGCCAAAGCCAACCAAGCAATGGAGTCTGCTCCTAAGTCTGCCATATTCACCAGTAAAACTTCTATAACTATCCATGTTCGACTCTCGATGAATCTTGGCATAGCTTTGCATTGATGTTATAAGACTTTTTTAAAACCTGTTGCCAAGATGTTAAATAAGTTCTTATAAGAACTTATTTAACATCTTGGCAACAGGTTTTAAAAAAGTCTTATAACTTCTATAACTATCCCATCAACCGTTCGCTGAAAAAATGGCTGGGGAATGGAACTCACGTCGATATGGATGACTTGATAGCCGATGNCAAGGCGTGGATCGCCTCTGAGGATTAAAACGTCTTCGCTTTTGGAATCCGAATATCTAGCCATTGGGACGTAGTGCTTGTCTTAGATGGTGGATAAGCTCCGGAGTAATTATTTGAACATGTTTTTGTTCAGTATTTTTATCGTTTCGTTATATAAAATTTGTTGAAAAAATCCGCAATAATTATGCACCAACCTAATAGTACTCACCTGCCTGATATTCCTCAACGAATTCAACGACATCACTGGCAGTGATGTCGTTGAATTTTTCGAAAATTCCCTCGGGAATTCTCTTGTTCCAATCCCGGACTTTTGCGATTGCTTCGTTATTGGAAAACACTCAAGAACATCCCCTTCAGCATCATATGATATTTACTTACTGCTCAATGGAGATGAACAGCTCTCGACTGTCACCCCTTGGCTTCAGCGAGGAACCGTCAAGAAAAAATTTCTCTGGTACCAGTCACTTGCAAATCTTGCTTGTCCAATAAAGGCAATCGCTCGCGCTCAAGTATGAACGCACTAAGGGTGTCTTACAAATTATCCTTGATCAATGTAACTTTCCAAGCGACACATACTCTCGAGAGAACTCATATATATGCATGATATTATGAGGTTCACATCAGGGACAAAATGATCAGAATTTCATAATAATACATCCCATCATTTTACTAAAATATTCACAGCTATGTTTTTTCTTAGCGTCATCACATTTTTTTAAATAATGACAACTTTTTTTCGGCTTTCCTGAGGAAACGTCAGGAGCCAGCCCAATTCTTCTTCGGGTCGACTGGAGACAAGTCGACGACGAGCCGTTGACGAGAGAGTCATTGCCTGAATAAACTCTGCAAATTTCAATTAATTATATGTCAAACATAACTGGTCCTTGACAAAAATGCCGAAAGAACAAAATTACGCGGAAAAAATCGGGAAAAGTAGTGGTAATAAAGCATAACAGGTGGTCCATTTCGTCGCTTCATCAATCGAGCTCTCGTCCTCAACGACTCCCCTAGCTGCACCACACCTAATCAATCACATACTTCTGCCATCCTACGTGTGGCGCCCTTTACTTCTTCTTCCTTTGCAACCCATACTTAGCACAACCTCAGTAACTCCCAATATTATTGACGGATTGTATATAACCATATTCGAAGCAAGACTTTGGAATCAACTACTGAATTTATGTTTGTGTTATATTTCCCGTATTCATGCTCATTGAAGCGGTTAAAACGCATCCAACAGTATCTAAGCGACTAGCTATAGAAGGAAAGAATTAGGTGTCATAGCAACCAATCGATGTCACTTTACTAGGGAGTCTGCAGGGATGAGGTCTGGCTGAGTGGTCGGTGAATCCTGGCCTACAAACTCTATCGGATCTACATGAATAGGGTTAAAAGCACGAAGCCTATGTGTATGTGCATACCGCCGCGGAGAAAAACCGCTCCCAAGAAGGTATTAGCTCACCCAAGCACTTCCAATTAGAGAGAGACATAAGTTATAAGTTAGTGTCAAGAGAAGAAAAATTTAAAAAAAACCGGTTCGTTTCGCTTCTTAATCACGGGTCCTGGGGCCGTAAGGTATGCTCTCCTGTTCGGGGCTGGGACCCCCGTTCCGGATCTCTCTCTCTCTGCTCTCCCGGAGAGCATACCTTACCGGGAAGGGGACCCTCCCCTGTTCGGAGGAGCATACCTTACGGCCCCTGTGGCTATAAAACATTTCTACTTCTGCCTCCCATCACCTCATCCTGGCGAGTTCATATAACGTCTCCCGGTGTCTTTTCACCCTAGTTCAGTGCCAAAGAGGCGCCAGTAATGAATACCATAAAGTTATCGGGCCACCGAACCACTCGTGAAGGAGAACTTCTGTCGGAAATGGGACACATATGTATTTTGGGAAAGGAACACCATCACTAAGCACCTTTGTATAGCTTATTAAAGATTCATGTGTTGGAGCGAGTGTTTCAGAGCTAACACCTTCTCCACTCAAATTCCTGAATTCACTCTCCGAAACCACCCACAAAGAGCAGCTAAAGAGCTGTTCATTGCGCACGTCAGTCACTTCCAAACTTCCAAAAGTACCAAACAATCCCGGTCGCGAGTGCATTTGACCTGAGTGCAGGGCGTTCTTTACAAACTGACTAATTTCATTGCAAATTTGAACTGATTATGTCAAAATTGAAGAGCTTTTGTTCTGACCCCATGTGCAAATGCATCTGTACTATACAAGGAACCAACAACTATACAGCTAAACCCACAAATTCACGCGCTTTATCACTGGACGACAAGCTCCACGAAAAAAAAACTACACTCGCCGTCGATGCCCGCCCTTGACACTGCAAGTGACATCAAAATACCATGGAGATCGTCTGGCTGGGCACGTTGCCAGCTTGTGGCTGCGTATCCGAACGTGTGCTGTAGAGTCGACGCGCAACGCAACGCTCGCGTCCCCTTGCGTGGCGACTGTTTTGGCGTCCGTATTGATGTTCGTATTTGTTTGTTCTTAAACATTGGGTTTTATTGGTTGTTTTTATTTTTAAACCCTTTAAAAACGTACTACAACTTGTTTGTGAATTTTTTATTATCGGCGAATCACGTAACAGTTGGTTTTGGAGTGCAAAGTTAATGTTGATAGTTTTTCATTATTTTAGCGCAGTGTTTACGTGATGTCTGAAGAAGCGCAAGTGTCAGCAGTCAATACGTCGGAGGATGCAGTTCAGAAATCAACCCCACTCAAAGAGCAAGCAGGTGAAAGTTGGTTCTTATTTATTTTTGGCTTAAAAAAGTTACAAGTAATAGAAGCTGTCTGAACATGTTGACTCCCTAAAGTTGCATTGTGTTTTTTTTATTTATTTTAACATCTGGCTTCTATTTACATTCTGTTTTCAAACGCTATTCGCATGTAAATCTGTTCTTCTGATGTTATGAGTTCAAAACTCTGCTTAACACATTCAAAAACACCACGTTTGTACGCTTTTACGGGGGACGGAAAACATTAGAGCTGTGTTGTTTTCAAGTTCAAACACCCGTCCAACAAAATTTGACACTGAAAGAGTACCATTAGTCTTCTATGCGTAGCAGTCTTTCGTAGCCCTGTCCTTTTTTCTCAAGAAAGGTGGAATGATGTTGAGGAAGGACATCATCACCTGCCTCCTATATCACCTACATATTTCATTGATTTCATTGATGTCATAGTCTCATGAGAAAGACACCAGTTTTTGCTAAGTTTCTCAGTTGTAAATTTGTTCTTGTGAAGATTCAAAAGTGGTTTGTGATCTGATGCTCAAAAGAGCTACGTGTATTATGGGTTCAATTGGTCTCACATTGTGGCTATCATTTGAGACAGTACGGAAGAACATATTTTATATTTATTTATTCACATTAATCAGCATTCTACATTTCGGGTTGAATCCCTTTAAACGGTACTTCCAATGAATGCTGAATGCTACAGTTTGTGTCAAATTGAGCAAATCCTCTTTTATAGATCACGAAGCTGACACTGTTCCACCTAAGGAGTCGTCTGTTCCAAATGGAGATTTCAATGGCCACCCAGAAGCTGCCGTAGATAACCATAAGCCGTCCGATCCAGTTCCCGCTGCTGAGCCCACCGAGGAAGGCGCAGGCGAGAAACAGGTACTTTTTTGCTTTTTCCCTAGACTTTTTTTATGTGATGCCTCCATTTTTTGGGGGAGGGGAGGGGGGGGTAATAATTACAATTCAATATAACAACAAATGGTTAACATCTTTATTTTGTTTGCAGTAGTTTATCAATTCACAAATGAGACTGGTTCAAAACTGAAATTCAAAAAAACTGCAAAGAACTTGTCGCCCAGATAAGATTTGACCCTACTTGTAGGAAATACCTATGGATACCTCTGAACCTGCAGAAGCTGCTGAGGCGAAAGCTGCAGGTGATGTTCCACCTCCTGAAAATGAGAAAGCAGAAAGTGACACGGAAAAATGGGAGGTCGTAGATGAAGAAGAGATAGCCAAGGTAAATTTTTCTTCAATGGTGTAACCAAAACCAGCTACCAAATTGCACCTTCAGGCGAAGGAAGCCGAGGCCGCACAAGAAGCTCAACGGGCCGCACAAGAAGCCGAATTAGCTGCACAGGAAGCTGAACGGGCTGCACAAGAAGCTCAACGGGCTGCGCAGGAAGCCGAGGAGGCTGCTCAAGAAGCTAAACGGGCTGCTGAAGAAGCTGAAAAGGAAAAAGTTGAAGAAGAGGTAAGAAAAAAGAAATTTTATAAGTATTTGGATAGAGTTTTCCTTTCAAGAAAGCAGCCGAAAATGCTGAGAGTGAAGAGAAAGAGAAGGTTGAGAAAGCTGAGCCCGCGGTGACAACAAAAGAGGATGAGCCAGCTAAGGAGGAGGAAAAAATTTCTGAGGTTCGTCTTTTTGAATGGAATATCTTACATTAGCGCACTTGAGAGGAGGGAGTGACCATGAAATAATCGACCTTTTAAGTCTTCACACTATTATGCTGCCTTCTAGGCTAGTAATCAGAAGCGATTACTTTTCAGAAATTTTTGTGTACGGTGATTGTGACTGTTTTTAGGAGGATAAAGAAACCCCGAACAAAGGTGTAGAGGAAATGGATACGTCGACTGGTGAGAATGAAGCACCAAAAGATGCCACTGCAGAGTCTGCCGCTCCCGCAACGCCGGGAAGAGGCAGAGGGCGAGGTTAGTCTCACGTTCAAGATTGTATTCAGTACTTGTGATTCCNCGTAGAATATTCAGTGATACAGAGATACGGTAAGAAAAAATCTGATTAACGCGAACTTACATTATTTGTTCTGCATTGTGTGAATTTAGGTCGTGGTCGTGGACGTGGTAGACCAGCTGGAGTAACTGCTGCTGCTAGTGCTCGTACTCCACGTATGCCCCGTGTGACTGCTGGAGCATCGGAAGACGCGGTCAGTACATTATATTTCCATCGTTTCATTTGTTTTCAAACTTGTGGTTTTCCAGCCGTCGTCGATAGCGTCATCACGTCCTCGACGTTCTACCTCTACACGAGTGGATTATGCTAACCCGGACACTTCCACTGTTCTTGCCGAAGTGGATGACGAAATTCCTGGGAAATTGTTCCGCGTAAGCTATCACATTCCATGTCAATTCTTTCATTATGTTCTTTCACAGGTTTCAGTTTTCGTAGAACTTACAAATTTTACAAAATCTTAAAAATGTTTTTTCACTGTTTTCAAGTCAATCGTTGTGATTATAGAGTGGACGTGGACGTGGTGGACGTGGAAGAGGTCGAGGTCGGGGAAAAAAGACTTCAGATACTGATAGCGACCAACCTGCAAGTGATGACGACGATGTGGTGAGAGCTGATTTTATCAACGGTCTTTGCTCGAAATTGTATAATTTTGTTGCAGGAATTCGGCACAAAGAAAAAGCGTGGTGCAGCTCGAGGCCGTGGTCGCGGGAGGGGTCGCGGTCGCGGTAGAGGAGCAGCTGTTTCCCATAAGGTAATTTTTATCCGCCGTAGTCTTTGTGCTCAACATTAATTATGGTTTTGAAGAAGCACGAAGACTCCGAAGATGATGATGATAATGAGATGGTTTTCGACGATTCCAAATCCGACGTTGAAGGAGCGGGGAGTGGGGATGAGGTATGCAAGCCAGACCTGCTTTTAGCTAGCAAGTGGCCAAAAAAAACTGTAACTATCCTCACGTTTCGACCAACTTTGAAACTGTTATGAATAGTCTCAGTCACACTTTTGTTATCTCTCTTGGTCTCGCTCGAAGGATGTGACACATTCACAGTCAACGTGTCGCATTCTGCTTGAACTGTTTTTGGTGATCAAAGTTTTTCTGTTCGGGGTAGTAACCTTTATTCTCTTTTAGGTGATGCCAACGAAGAAAAGAGGAGCAGGTGTCGATCATAACTTGCCACCCAAGAAAAGGGGCAGAGCTGCGGATGATTAAAAGTTAGTTGAAGGTATGGTTTTGAATGAAGCTGATCACCGTCGCTAAGTAGATGTTGAGAGTGTTTGATAGTATTGACGAATACTAGGAATTTATGTCACGATTATATAGTTATAGGATCGGGAGCTACTCGTTCAATAATTGGTTTCTGATCCTAGTGGTAAGCGGATTAGTCTCATTTATTATCTGTATTATCTCTGCCAGGTACTCCTCTTTTTTATGTGTCCGTTGTTGATATGATCTATACAGTTCGCATTTGATTTCTCATTCATTGTTCTTGATATGAGAAATACTGTGGTTCATGTCTAACTTCACGACTATTTTGCGCTGAATGGTTTGGGGGGTTATATGGCATGGTTTGGGGGGTTATATGGCGATATGGCGCAAGTCGTGAGGGTCCATTGCGGACATTCAATCACACGCTTTGTTGTTGTACATATAGCTGTTGCAGATTTATCAGGTCTCATAATTTTTACTGATTCATTTCGCCGTTTTGGCAAAGACACAAGTATTGCATGTGTATTAGTGCCTGTGTTGGGACTGAGCCATCTCGTCGAAATATCTTTGAAGATTGCACCCATTCTTTGGAAACGGCGGTTTTCGGGAGGAACTTAGTTGACACAACCTTTTCTACAGTGAATTTCTTGTTTAGCTAGCAGTTTAAATTCTGCAAATTTCATATTAGACTCCCTATTGTAGTAAGTATGATATCCGAGTGTCGTTTTCCTATAGTTGACACAGTTTGCTTTGCACACCCTTGTTTTCACAGAAAACATTCGATTTCCTGAATGGGTCAGTTTAGAGTTGTTTTTTTT